ACGTATGGATAGAGGTGGGGAAGCATGTTACTAGGGAGATAAAAGAAAAATGATACACTTTTTACAGGAGGAAGAAAGCACATAGGGGATCAAAAGGCTTTGGTGAGGAGCCTACAAGGATGGATAAGATTCGGAAAGAGGAAGATGGAGGAAATGAGCAAGGAAACATAACTAGTACAGTCTGTTGATCTGTATAATGGGGTGTGTAGAATAATATTTGCCTCATGGGACTGTTGTAAAGATTAAATGAAGTGATCCATGTGAACTGGTTAGCATGGAGTCTGGCACAGAATGTGAATATTCAGTATGTTAAATCTGCATTATTAATGGTTAAACCTATAACTCTGTAGACAGAATAATGGTCCCCCAAAGATGTTCACGTCCTAACATCTGGAACATGCAAGAATGTTAGGTAAAATGGAAAAGAGAAATTATGTTTGCAGATGGAATTAAGGTTGCTAATCAGTTGACTTTAAAAGAGGATAAACGGGCATAAATGGTGATGGAAGGAGGCTTGAGTTAGGATGGCAAACACAATACAAAAGAGAGATGATGTATTGTAGAATTGTATACCAGAAATTTACATAATTTTATTAACCAATGGCACCCCCAATAAATTCAATTAAAATTAATAGGGAGATTATTCTTGTGGGCCCAATGTAATCACAAGTTTCCTTTAAGATTCAAGAAAGAAGCAGAAGAGTCAGAGGGAGATGGGATATTGAAGAATGGTCAGAGGGATTTAACATTCTGCCTTTGAAGATGGAGGATGAGTTCGTAAGATAAGGAGAGTCAGTGGCTTCTAGAAGATAAAAGGCAAGGAAATGGATTCACCCCCAGAGCCTTCAGGAAAGAACATAGTCCTGCTGACAACTCGATTTTAGCCTAGTAAGTCCAGTGTCAAACTGCAGACCTCCAGAACTATAGGGTACTACATTTATGTTGCTTTAAGCGACCAAGTTTGTGATGATTTGTGACAGCAGAAGTAAGAAACTAATAATACAAGCCTATGAGGATCATGTAGCAGATTCCTGTTACAGTTCTGCACACTGTTTATTCCCCCTCACTCAGTTTGGTATATAGTAGACTCTCAATAAATTATTTGAATGACTGAGTGAATAGACATTTTAGGAATACATTGTGGTGAAGTTTGGCAGGAAATTTTGCTTCAGACTAGGCATATATATTAATATTCTTATTTGATACAATTGGTCTCAAACTGCTTATTTTTATATGTAACTGCACTTGAGCTCCAAATTATTAAGGAGGATAGGATGAGTGGGGTCTACAATTGAGATCAAACAGTGTAAACTTATTTAAAAAATTATGTGATGGCTTCATTTCTTTTTTGATAAGGATACCAGGTTCAGTAGGTTAGGGAAAGGCCTACAGACAGTATATATATTTTTAATCTTCACCTGAGGTTATGTTTAGAGGGAGAGAGAGAAACATTGATCATTTGCTTCCCATACGTGCCCCAACGTGGAATCAAATCAGCAACCTAGGTATGTGCTCTGATAGGGAATTGAACCTGCAACATTTTGGTGTATGGGATGACACTCCAACCAAGCCACCCAGCCAGGTCAACAGTATATTTTGATAGCAACAAAAATGTGACAAAGTTTTTTATAATATCTTCCTGAATAAGAAAGTGTGAGTTTGATGATAATATAAGCCAGGCTTGAGGCTAATGGATGAACCATACCCCAAAAGTGGATGTGTATCAGCATGTACAAGTATTCAGTAGAATGACATAGGTCTTTGTCATTAAGTCTGTGCTAACTGGTTGTGGCGCTGATGACTTGGTTTAAGGTGGAAGGATGCTTGCTTAATTTACTGAAAGGATTAAAATCAGACATGACAGAATCCAGATTCAAAAGTATCACAATAGATAGGAATGTTGGACTGAAACTAAAATGATGAAGTTTAATAAAGATAAATGTAAAATCTCCCATGTACAGTAAGTGCAAGGCATACATAATTTGGGAAAAGTTCCTGTGGGAAAAAATTTAGGGTTTTTATTAGGCTTTAAATTTGAGTTAACAGGATGAAGTTGCTTACTTTGAAGATCTGACTATCTAAAACAGTTTTTACAATGGTTTTATGAAGTTCTAGAAGACGGACAATGGATAAAAGACAAAATGGAAATAGATTTTGATTAAACGTAAGGGAAATCTTTTAAGTAGACCAGAAGAACAAAGAATTTTGGTTAATTCAGATCTTGCTAATTTCAAGTCTGGTCAATTGCTTCGTTCACTTACCATCTGGGAAATTTCTGATCTGATCAATAAGCATTAGTATGCAGTGTTATGTTGATAGATTTATTCTCTCATTTTGTTTTCTGTCTGTTCTGTATTTTTCGTTTATTTTTTTCCTGCCTTCTGTTCTGTTACTTAAACATTTTCATTTTCTCCTTATCAATTTATTACTATTTTTTAAATCTTGCACTGTACTATAGAAATATGTTGGCTAAACTAAATAAAATCCTCATAATTAGATAAGACAAATAAGAATAGTCATTATTTATTGGATGCTTACTGTGATCAAAATACTGTAGCAAATATTTTACTGATGCTATCTCATACAATCCTCAAAACAATCTTTTGAAGTAGAAGTTATATGCCCATTTCATAGTTGAGAAAACTGAGGCTCAGAAAGATTTTAAAAAGTGCTCAAGGATATTTGCTGTAAAGATCTATTTGATTCCAGAGTTGATACTCACAATCACTCACATATACTTTTTATTTTTATTTTTGGCCACTTTCCAAGAAGTAAATTATTTTCATAGAAGTGGGATCTTAAAGGTTCTGGATAGCTAAGAGATATATTTTATTTTTAATTTCTCCAATCACTTATTCTGCTTGGATTCATTTTTACACAAATTCAGAAATATACATAGCTAGATTTTTTAATTTTTATTACCCATCATTTATCAGAAAAAGGAAGCATCATTTCCCTTGAGAAGTAAAGGAATAAACTGAGGATTTAAACTATTATTCTTCAAGAACAAAAATTTAATTTGTCAACTTCCATAAACTTTATAGTGTCTCAGGAAAGTCCCAGAAACAAGAAGAAACATGTCATTATTCTGTGTAAATTTTACTTACTTCGGAGAATAGGTGAGGAGCCATTTTTTAAGACTGAGGCAAGCAAAGTAGAAGTTAAAGAAAAAATGTAGAAATTAAGAAATTAAAAAAAAATAGAGAAATAGAGAGGTCAAATACCAAATTTAAAAGTATATAATAATTTAAGCACTTTAACATGATACTAAAAATATTTCATAAAAATATTGTTTGGTTTTAAGTAAATTAAATGAGTATGTATTATAAAAATGAACTATTAAATACTCAGCCATTTGTTGAGATCTTGTTTTATGAAAATAAAAATTATGTTGAAAAAGATTCATCCTCTTAATTGAAATCAATTCTGTAAGTTTGTGAGGATTCCTGGTATATATTTATGAGGCAAAAGACCCTAAGTACTTATAATATTATTAACATGAGAGGAGGAAAACAATATGAGAAACCAGGAGTACATAAATCCTTCTTTTACCCCTTTCTTCCATTATGAAGTCCCCTAAAAGTTCCACTGGCTTAATATGTGAGATTTTTCTATGTCAATATGTAGGGGCATTCCAATGGGAGTTATTCAAATTTTATATTACTCTGTGTTCCCAGACTCACCAAGAACTATGATGACAACAGTTACGATCTCATTTTTACATGAGGATTTAGGAAGCTGGTAATTGCTCTCTAACCTTGTTCTGAGAACAGGGTGTGCTTTTCTAGGAAAATGATTTTCTCTTCATAAGGTTACCATGATTTTGGTAGGTAGAGAACTGTTTTCTTGTAGGAAGTTTTGCTATTATTATTGAAACTAACCAACAAAGTGTTATCTGGTTCAAATAACATGTTATCAGTAAGTCCAATATAAGACACATAAAAACAGTTTAATTCTGGGTAATGTGGAAGTAGAAATAAGGGTACAGCTCTGTCCCTTGGTTATTCCATGTATGCATAATTTTCTGTTGAACCTTTTAGAGTCCGGACAGCACAACTAGAAAAAATCCTCTAAAATCTATATAGGTCATTAGATTAGGAATCTAAAGACCTACAGTCCCAGGCCTATCAGCAAGGTGTATTAACGAACCTCTAAGGGTCCCAATTTCCTCATCTGTGACATAAAGAGATTGAACTAGGCATCTTTCAGCTAAAATATTTGAAGGAACCATTAGCAACGAGATGCAAATCACAAAATCTGTGCTTTCTCAGCTCTCTACTGCAAATTAAGATGCTCACGAAAGGTGAAATTTTCATGCCTACCTCAAAATTCTGGGTATTGGATTTTTTTTTAACCTTAAAAATTTAAGGGCATTCAAGAGAAAATCACAATATAAATGTAAATTATAACATTATCCTGTTCCAAACAATTTCATTGTCATTGATCTTGGATCAACTTGAGCAACTATTTAGTATGACAGGAGTATCTTCACTATGAAGATGGTCCACCGTCTAGAAGGGGGTCGGTCATCTCACGGACGCCCCCGCTCTTCCCTGAGTGGCTCTGGATGCCCAGGGGTCGCTTGGAAGGGATTGGGGCGCAAAGAGGGAAGAGTTGGATGAAGTTGCCCGAAGAGGCCGTTGAGGGTTCAGGGGGTATTGGGAAAGGCCTATTCCTTCTTGATTTCGACCTAAAGCTCCCTGTGATGCGAGCCACAGCCGACCAGTAGAGCCCCCAGCTCCAACTCCACATGGAGGGAGACCCACGCACCCTGAGATGCCCCCCCACCCCAAGGGGGAGCTGACGGCCACCCTCCCCCCGCCCATGGCTCCCCGCCCAGTCCCCACCCAACAGTGGCCTCGGGCTCCAGGGCCACCACCGCCAGCCACCCCGGCACCATCTTCCCGGAACTGGCCTCTACCCCACTGGCCCCGCCCCTCTTCGGAGAGCACCCAATGGGCGGAGCCGAGGCCGCGGTGGGCGGGGCCGGCGGCGGGCGCCTTTAAAGAAAGGCAGAGGGTGAAAGGAAGCGGGAGAGGAGAAGAAAGAGAAGCCGGGCGGCGAGGCGCCGTCCAATGACAAAGCCCAGGGGTGGGCGCCGGCCGCCATCTTGCACCGGCGGCGGGATCGCCCGCGTCCTCCGCCCTCGGAGGGGGAGGGGCGGCGGCCGAGGCGAGAAAAGTAGCGACAGGCGCGCCGGGCGGTAGGCGCCTTCAGCGGCCGCCGCCGCGGAGCCGGCCGGGCGCGGGGGGAGGCGGCGGCGGGGCCCGGCGGGCGCAGGCGGCCCCGAGCGGCCTCCGATGCGGCGCTCCGGGAAGAGGCGGCGGCCCCCGGCGGCCCCGGCCTCGGCCTTCCGGGGCGGCGGCGGGAGGGCCGGGGCCGGGCTGGCGGCGCAGGAGGAGAAGGTGGTGCACTCGCGCTCGCAGCTGTCGCTGGCCGACACCACCAAGGCGCTGGGCGAAGCCTTCAAGCTGTTCATGCCCCGCAGCACGGAGTTCATGAGCTCGGACGCGGAGCTCTGGGGCTTCCTGTGCAGCCTCAAGCACCAGTTCTCCCCGCACATCCTGCGCAGCAAGGACGTCTACGGCTACGCCTCCTGCCGGGCCCTGGTGCCCGACCCCCCAGCGCCCCGGGCGCGCAGGCCGGCGCGGGGCCGCGCGGCCCGGAGGGCGGCCCGGAGGAGGCGCCGCGGAGTCCGGGCGGCCGCCGCCCGCAGGAGGAAGAAGCCGCCGCCGCCCCCGCCGCCCCCGCCGGCGCCCGGGGAGACCCGCGCCGCGGAGCCCGGGCCCCTCGGCGCCTGCTTCGGCGGCCGCACCCTGGAGGAGATCTGGAGGGCGGCCACCCCGACGCTGACCAGCTTCCCCACCATCCGCGTCGGCGGCGACGTGTGGGGCGAGCGCAGCCTGGCGGCCGTGCGGCGCCGGGCGCGCCAGGTCCTGCGCGTGAACCTGGAGCCCGTGGTGAGGCTCCGCCGCTTCCCGGTGCCTCGGGCGTGAGCGGCAGCCGCCCGCCCCCGGACGGAGCCCCGCCGGGAGGGACGAACAGGTGTCAGTCGAGTGTTTACAGATGCGGCCGGACTCGGGCCCCTTGTGCACTTTACGGGCGAAGCAGCCGCCGGAGGTGCGCCCTGGACGCGGCGCCGCCGTCTGGGACCCCGGGCTGTGCGCCCTCCGCTGCCCCTCGGCGCCCGGTCTGCGGGGGGAGGAGGCCGCTGGACCCTCCGAAGGGCCCCCCTTCCTTCTCCCCCCGACGGGGACGTCCCCGGGACCGCGGGGCAGGCCCCTCCTCTCCCCTTCGGACTCTACCTCACCGGTCTGGAAGCCCTCCGAAGAGTCATTCTTTTTCCAAAGGAATTTGGTTCCGCGCTCGTGTCATAAGTCAGAACCCACTTGCTTTGGACACCCCTCCTCCTCCTCCTCGATACCTCCCCCCCTTTCCGTTTTGCCTGCCACCCCTCTCTCCGGACGACCGGTCGGCCGTGTTTCGTGGTGGTGCACTCGCTCGTGCTCAGGGTATTCCGACTCCCGCTCGGTTCCCGGTGTGGACTGGATTCCAGCGCTCTGACCAAGGATGTTTTCCAAGCGACACCAGCTTGTGACGGACTCTTCCTCGTGCAAGGATTTGTACGGCTTTGATGGCACGCAAAGAGATGCAAAATGCAACTGTGTTGGTTATTTTAAGGTGTTTCTAAAGATTTTTCTATTGACAAAGTTTATATTTACTGAGCTTCTAAAGAAAATGGTAGAAACTCAAAAGTTTTGTTTAGGGAAAGTTGACTTGTTAAAAATTGAATAAAAATTAAAGTGCACTGAAACCATATGGCTTGTGATTTAAAAAAAAAAAGAATGCATTATAAAAAAAACAACAACACACGTGTTGGTTAAAGAAATGGATGGAATCCAATTAGAAATGATTTGGCCTTGTACTGGTCCAACATACAAGTCCAGGAATATTTCGAGGGCAATATATTTTGAAATGGGAGTCCAATCGGAGAAATGAATGATACCTTTTGTGGCTAAAATGATAAACAGAATACTCATTAGAATCCTCAGAATTATACATGGTCTAGAAGAGGGGGGCATCTCTTGGTCTAAGTAACTGGTTGAAGTTACTTGGGGCAAAATAGCTCATGGTCTTTCTTTTTGTTGTTGTTGGATAATAAGACGTGTCCAGACTAATGTCACCACTTTCATAAACGTGTTAGTTGACGTTTTTGCTCCACCAGTTTCCTTTTTTATCTTGTTTCCCTTTAAGTTCATGTTTGCAGTTACGGGTCTTTGATAGCTGAAGACCACAAGCAAGCCGCAGAGTGCTGACCCTGCTTTTACACTTTAATAATACGTAGTGTTTATACCACATGGCCCAGTGTTACTTTAGATTATTCAAGTGCCTTTGGTCATTGGTGGCAGCAAGACTTAATGGTTTTTAGCCAGTGGTGCCACAGCCAGATTTTACTGTAATGTCTAAAGGGTCAAGTAGAGTTTTTGTACCACTATCATTTCAAATTTGGGTGTTCTGCGGTGGAGCGATCTGTCCTGGGCTGGAACTTGACATATGTAATACTCAATATTAAGGTCTATCTCTGCTTGGTAGCTTCTTAGGAGAATAATGAGCTGCAGTTTTGACTCTTGTGTTCTTAGAATTTAAATGGCATAGCTTTCTGAAATGATTTTTTTTTCCCCAAGCTTAATAGTCCATTGTAGGAGCTTTGTGACTTTAATTTCAGTGTTTTTGTTAAAAAGAATATTTTATATATACACATATATATATGACTTTATACCACTTTCCCAGTAAAGCATCATATTCTTTTAGTCACTAGTCAACGGTAATGCATTGTTACAAACACTCACATGAATAAATAAAAGTGAATAATTGGAAGATGGAGAGTGTTCACTTATATTTGTGTGATAGGAAGCTTATCTATATTCTTCTGGTTATTAGCTTCCACTGCCAATTATATTTCACTTATATAGGGTTTCTCCTCATCCGTTTCCCCTCTCCCCCCTCTATTAACTTAGGCTAACTAGCACCTGAGGGGAAAAATTTTGTATTTGTACCACTTCACTTTGTATATAGTTTTATAATAATTAAGAAATCTAATGGCCATATTAGAATGTAATTTCAGCATACAGCTTATCTAGATAGTTTCCCAGAGGATTTTGAAATCAGACTTAGCTGGGAGGATAACTTTCCTCGGCACAAAACTGAAAACATATTCACGGACACCATGCATTTATTGTAACTGAGATGCTTAATATTTTTTCTCTCATGCCTTGTTGCTTTAGTACACTTGAACTCACATAAATGCTTCTTTGGATTACCTGGGCAGTCTGACTTCAGTTTGGATCTAATTGCCCTTCCTGAATACAATGTTTTTTATCGGATTGACTGAAAAATTCATGCCATTTCTAGTTTGTAAAAATGATGTAAATCATTATTTTTGCCAAGTTTAGCATATGTTACAACTTCTAAAATGTGAAGAAACAACTAATATAGTTGATTAGCATATTAATAGGAAAGTGGAAGTATTTTATGGGTACTTTGGGGCAGAATGTGAAAATGAACTTGGCATGGTGGCCTTTATGGTGAGGCAACCGTTTACTGTCCTCTAAAGTGAGTCTGTAGCTTAGCTTGTAGATAGTTTTTGTAAGAAATCCTGTGATCGTTATTCATTCTTTTACCTTCTCATATCTCAAATGGCACAAGTAGAGAGGGGAAGCCAGAAGGAAGTGTATCACCTTGCTATGCTTCCAATGAATTTTTAACTCTTGAGTGCCTAAACGTGGTGACTGGCACCTCAAATAACCTTTTGAAATTCCCGATGTCATTTTTTATCCTTCCTGTCAACCAGCAACTTATTTTTATGTTATGATTGTTGAGGGCAAGCTTCATTGTTGATAGTGCAAAGTGTCGTTGGGGTGTGTATTTATTTTGTCCAAGTTTGAGTACCCTATTGGGCAAGTGTAACTTAAGCCAGTGGCTGACACCTATTGATTTGCTATGTGCAAATCTGAAAACTCTTTAATAAAAAAATAAAAAAAAAATTAAAAATATTTGAATACAAAAAACTGAGCAATTTTGAACTCAAAGTTTTTTGTTGTTTTAAGGGTTGCCACAGCACCCTTTAAATTGTGTTTTTTAATGGACATATATTCATAATATTTTATCTGTGTGTAAAATATTTCTTGATGGACTGTTATGTCTTAAGTGCATTATAAGGCAATTATTTGTAATGGAAGTGAATTCTTTTGGACAGTTTGATGTGCATATGAGTAAGATTTACAATCTGGTTGTACTTTGCTTTTTAATTTATTAACTGTAAATAAATTTTAGAGAATACAGTGTCTGTGTTTTCTAACGATGTTAAAAGTTTTTGAAATGGGATTTTACGTTTACATGTGAATTGGAAAGCATTTTAATATGCTATGGGATAAACTTTGACTTTTTTGTGAACTTCAAACTCCTGGAGGTTTTGAGATACGTGTTTTGTGCTATCTTGGGAATCTATGTTACATCAGTTCTCTACTGATCTAGTGAGTCTCCAGGACAGTGCCTCATGCTGAAGCCCAAGCCATTACCCAGTTTGTCAGCAATAAAGACTTAAAAAATGCATCACAATTTAGTTTTGAGTCCTGACTCCAAGTCCCCCTTGGTAGTGGTGGAAATTCTAAAGCTCACATTCTTCCAAATTCTGAAAGAAAAGAATGTTCCATATAAGGAGCATCAGTAAGGGTTTTTCACAGAATAAGAACAGAGCTAGACTTTTCATTGCAGTCTAGAAGGTAGAAGTGGAATATTAGCAGGGGCAGGATTCACAGCTCTGTGTGGCCTGATTTTGTCTTTGTACCTGAGTTGCATCAAAAATGGAGTCGGCATAATGTAACAGCTGTGAATCACAGTGCCTGGGATAGAATAAAGTCTTTTTCGTTTGCATTAGAACTCTTAGATAAGTTACATAGACTTTCTGTGCCGTTGCTTCCTGGAGACCAATGTGGTGAGTAAAAGAATGGATTACTGAAAGGATAAAAGTGCATATTAATGGTGGCCACATAGGAACTAATAAATGCTATTAATTGGAGTCATGGGTGCTGAGAATAAGTTTAGATGCTGAGAGTGGTCCTTTGGGAGTTTAGCATCCTGAGAACAGAGTGTGGTCTGTCTGGGATAGCTAAAAGACAAGAGAAGCTAATTTGTGGTTGAATTAAAGATAAATCTTTTTTTTTTTTTTTTTTAGCCTGCTGACAAACTATACAGCAGGAGGTTGGATTAAGTTGACTTATTAGACAGTTTTCATTATTGGGAGGTTTTTAGGCAGTCTTAAAAATTTGGGGTCTTCTTTTATCACCCTGATACCTTTAAAAGATGTTTAAAATGAGCTGCTTATGTGTTTTAAACTATCTGAGAATTTATAAAAGTAATTGATTAAAGTTACTGACCTAAGAACTTGCTAAATTTCCACACTAAGTTTTCACTTGGAGTAAATTCATACGGATTGCTTAAGTACCATGTTACTCTACATGTACAGAACTAAATCGGAATTAAATGTGTGTGAGGTTTGTACGTCCTATGTTAAAGGAAACAAATGAGTACAATAATTATGTTTGAAGCAACAAAAATTATTACTAAAAGCAAAAAAGATCATAGTTGAAGCACTGATACTGATTTTTAGATTTAGGCTCTAAAGCTTTTAATTCAGCTCTAGTTCCTCATGACACAAAGAATAACAGAGCATAGTCTGCCTAGATGAGCAAGCCAAAGTTCTGTGGTGTCTGAAGGTGACACAAAGGAATTTTCTTAGATGGAAGTTACCCAGTAGTAGGAAGCTGAAAACTGCCTGATTTCAGATTTCACAAGAACAATGACTTCTCATTGTCCGCATTCATTTGTTTTGGTACATGTCACCCCAAACCTTCACCTATAACATTATAAACATATCCAGAGCCCACATGGAAGGTAACAATCACAACTTCAAACACAATTGTTTGAATAAATATTCTACTGAACACAAAACTAGACTTCTTTTGCTTCTGAAACTATTCATAGAAATGTTGCATTGAGATTCTTCCAAGTATTGAAATTAACTGTAAAGTGTATGTATGTGTGTGTGTGTGTGTGTGTAAATATATACACACACACACACACACATATATATATATATATATATACATATATACACACACCCACACACACACACACACACATATATATATATACACACACTTTAGGATTTTTTAAGTACATGTTCTTTAAATGTTTATTAGAACATAGAAAAAAGGGTGTGACTTAGGGTTCTAAAGTCTAGGTTAAAATATTATTGAAGCATATTAAAAATTAATATATTAAAAGAATTATTAACACAGCTGCATAAAATTTCCTAAGTTCAATATTCTCATGGAACCAACACGCAGGTTAAAAAACAACGTCAGAGCATTACCAGTGCCCTAAGGACGCCTTGTACCCCTTCCAGTCACCATCTCCCCTCCAAGATAACAGTTATCCTGACTTCTTACAGCGTGGGTAACTTTTGCCTGTTTTGGGATTTTATATACATAGAATTATGTATCGTGTGCCTAATTTATTCACTCAAAATTATGTTTGTGAGATTTATGTAAGTGCATGTAGTTGTAAATTGTTTATTCTCACTGGTGTATAGAATTCCATTGTGTAAATATTCTACAGTGTTTCTGCCACTCATGATGGGTATTTAGGTATATTCCAATGTAGAGCAACTGTGATTAAAATGTTAATAAACATTAGAATACATGCCCTTTGGTGAAATTTTGGTGGGAGGGATGGGGTAGCATTTACCTAGGAGTGAATTTGCTTGGTCACATGTTATTCAAATGATCAGCTTTGGTAGATACTGACAGTTTTCCCCAGTGGTTATACCAATTTACATGAGCTTTTAGGGCAGTGTATGAGAGTTCTGGATATTTTACATCCTTGCCAAAAGGTGGTATCTTTGGTCTTTTTTATTTTAGCCATCCTGATATGTAAACAGACTTTTATAAAAATTAAAGACATTTAAACCAAGTAATGTATACACATGGTGTAACCTCCCCCCACCCACACACATCTTAAATAGCATATAAGAACTTACTGTAATAATAATAAAAATATCCCTACCTCAACAACAAACACCCCTTTCCTAGTGGCAACACTTTTTATAAGTAAGATTTTTTGTTTTTATATTTTTAATGAACAATTTTAAGGGCAGTTTTAGGTTTAGAGACAAATTGCACAGAAAGTACAGAATACCCCATGATCCCCCAGCCTCCAATTATTAATATCTTGCATTAATATGGATACATTTATTATAACTGATAGGTTATATGTTATTCAAATGATCAGCTTTGGTAGATACTGTCAGTTTTCCTAAGTGGTTATACCAGTTTACATGAACTTTTAGGAGTGTATGAGAGTTCTGGACATTATTGACATATTATTAACTAATATTAGAGTTTGTTCTTTATATTGTACAGTGTCATAAGTTTTGTTTGTGTTTTTTTTGTTAATCCTCATCGAGTATATTTTTTCCCATTGATTTTTACAGAAAGTGGAAGGGAGGGAGGGAGGGAGGGAAGCAGAGAGAGATGGGGTGGAGAGAGAGAGAGAGAGAGAGAGAGAGAGAGAAGAGAGAGAGAGGTGAGAGAGACACATCTATTCATTGCCTGCCACACGAGTCCTGACCGGGGCCAAAGGTTGAGCCTGCAACCTAGGTATGTGCCCTTGACCAGAAATCGAACCCATGACCCTTCAGTGCATGGGCCGACACTCTAACTGCTCAGCAACACTGGTCAGTTTCACAGATTTTGACAAATGCATTATGTCAAGTATCCACCATTACAGTATCACACTGAGTAGTTTCACTACCCTAACAATGCCCTGTGCTCCACTTAGTCATCACTTCCTCTCTTCCTCTGAACCCCCGGCAACCAGTGGTCTTTTTACTGACTATAGTTTTGTCTTCTTCAGAATGTCATATAGTTGGAATCATAAAGTACACAGCTTTTTCAGAGTGGCTTCTTCTACTTAGCAATACGTATTTAAGTTTCCTCCATGTCTTTTACCTCCCTCACTCCCTCCCTTCCTTCATTTCTTTCTCTTGTTAATGAAGTTTATTTTTTAAAACAGTTTTAGGTTTACAGAAAAATTGACCAGAAAGTGTAAAGAATTCTTTACTAATATGCTTCTTGTTTTGCTGGAGTACATCCTCAGATAACTCCCTAATAAAGAGTGAATATAGTCAAATGTTCTGAGGCTTTGCATGTCTCAGAATATTTTTATTCTGTTCTCACATTTAATTGACAGTTTTGATAAGTTTGGAATTCTAGGTTGTGATGACTCATTGCCCCTTCCCTAAGTGGACCCAGACTATACCACTGTTGGAATTATCATGTCTACTTTTTATAGTGTTTCTGACTCATACTGTCATTTTTATCTTATTCTATTCTTTTGAAATGATTCACAAAGTCCAGCCCACACTCAAGGCAAAGGGAATGAGGCGCTACCTTTTGAATGGCCTTAAAAAGAATCTTTGAACATATTTTCAACTACCACTCTGCCCTCTGGGCTTAATTATTTACATTCATCTCACATGCAAAACAACCTTACCCTGTCCGCTCAAAGTCCAGTACCCTAAAGGACTCCTTATACCCCTTCCAGTCACTATCTATCTTCTCTCCAAGATAATAATTATGCTGACTTTTTTTTACAGCATAGGTAACTTTTGCCTGTTTTGGATTTTATATACATAGAATTATGTATCATGTGTCTAACTTATTTCACGCAAATGTTTGTGAGATTCATTCATATAATTGCATATAGTTGTAATACAGGTCCTTAAGTACACTTTCTCTCAATCTGAAGACCTGTGAATTAAAGATATAACTAACAGTCCATGGTTGCACAGGCATAGGATAACCAGAATAGACACTACTGTTCAAAAAGAGGGGAAAAAGGAGATTCACAAAAATCACTGGTCCATAGTAATTCTAAAATTCAGCTGGGCACAGGTGACAATTCCTTTTAGGACTCAAAGCCTGGAAATAAGTTTCTATGGCTCCAGCTTTACCCTCTGGGTTTCTTATTTTTTTTCTTTCTTTTTTTTTTTTATTAAATCTTTATTGTTCAGATTATTACATTTTTTCCTCTTTTTTCCCCCCATAACTCCCCTCCTCCCAGTTCCCGCCCCACCCTCTGCCCTCACTCCCCACCCACTGTCCTCATCCATAGGTGCACGATTTTTGTCCAGTCTCTTCCCGCATCTCCCACACCCCTTTTCTCCCCAAGAATAGTCAGTCCATTCCCTTTCTATGTCCCTGATCCTATTACAATCACCAGTTCATTCTGTTCATCAGATTATTTATTCACTTGATTCTTAGATTCACTTGTTGATAGATGCATATTTGTTGTTCATAAATTGTATCTTTACCTTTTTCTTCTTCCTCTTCTTAAAGGATACCTTTCAGCATTTCATATAATCCTGGTTTGGTGGTGATGAACTCCTTTAGCTTTTCCTTATCTGTGAAGCTCTTTATCTGACCTTCAATTCTGAATGATAGCTTTGCTGGATAAAGTAATCTTGGTTGTAGGTTCTTGGTATGCATCACTTTGAATATTTCTTGCCACTCCCTTCTGGCCTGCAAAGTTTCTGTTGAGAAATCAGCTGACAGTCGTATGGGTATTCCCTTGTAGGTAACTGAGTTTCTTTCTCTTGCTGCTTTTAAAATTCTCTCTTTGTCTTTTGCTCTTGGCATTTTAATTATGATGTGTCTTGGTGTGGTCCTCTTTGGATTCCTTTTGTTTGGGGTTCTCTGGGCTTCTTGGACCTGTAAGTCTATTTCTTTCACCAGGTGGGGGAAGTTTTCTGTCATTATTTCTTCAAATAGGTTTTCAATATCTTGCTCTCTCTCATCTTCTGGCACCCCTATAATTCTGATGTTGGTACGCTTGAAGCTGTCCCAGAGGCTCCTTACACTATCTTCGTATTTTCGGATTCTTTTTTCATTTTGCTTTTCCGGTTGGGTGTTTTTTGCTTCTTTGCATTTCAAATCTTTGACTTGATTCTTGCACTCCTCTGGTCTGCTGTTGGGAGTCTGTATAATATTCTTTATTTCAGTCAGTGTATGCTTAATTTCTAGTTGGTTCTTTATCACAACATCGAGGGTCTCATTAGATTTCTTGAGGATCTCATTAATTTTATCAGCGGCTTCTAGACAGTTCTTGAGAGACCTTAAAAGTGTGGTTTTCAGCTCTATATCCTCCATTTCTGTCATTTCTGTCCTGTTTCTTTGTCTCGGCATTTTTTATGCTTTCTTGGTGCACCCCCTTGTGGTCTTTGTGCGCAGTCTTGTTGTAGTTAAGCCTTGATTGTTGTAGGTATTACTGGGGGGGATTTGACCTCCAGGCCAACTGGCTGTGAGATTCAGCTGTGTCTGCAGTGAGAGAACTTCTATCCTCTGGGGAGGTGATAATCTAGCCTTTGCCTGAGGCTATCCAGCAAATGCCTCTGTGCAGGGCTGGGGCGGGGCGGGTCGCACGGGATCAACAGGGCGGGCGGAGCGAGCAGTTATGGCTGCTCTCAGTCCCATCGCCAGAGGCTCTGCCTCTCAGAGTCCCAGCAACCACAGCAAACCTCGAAGAGAAAGCTGCCCTCGAGTTCCGACCGATGCCAGACAGTCCCACTTCTCCCGTTTGAGTCTGGGTTCCTAGAGACTCGCCCAGAACTGGAGCTCAGAGCCTGAGGCTCCCTCCTGATTGAAAACTACAACTGCACCCTCAGCCACCAGCCTGCTCCGCGCGCACCTCCGCACCTTTGTATTTTCCGCACTGCGCCTTCTCTGAGTCTCGGTATGCTGTTCTCTTTCCTTCTAGTTGAAGAATTTCCCCTCAGCCAGCCTTCCTGTGGTTCTGGGTGATGTCCGTTCCGTCTTTTAGTTGTATTTTTGAAGTGGTTGTGCGCGGCAGCAAACTCGGGTGTTTACCTATGCTGCCATCTTGGTTCCCCTCCTGGGTTTCTTATTTCATCCTTTGAGTCATTCCTCCTTTTTCATAAAAGGTAGCCTGTGTTTGCAGCTGCATATTTTTCATAACCTACATATTGATTCTAGAAGTTTGTGGGTTCAAAGCTGTCTTTCATTGCACTGCCTCCATTCTTTTAAGCAAACCTCAAAAGAACAGAGATAGTTAATAGGCAATTTTTAAGGGCAGTTTTAGGTTTAGAGACAAACTGCTACTTTGGGCTTGTGCTGAGGAACAACATTTTCTTTCAAGATCTAATTGGCAGCATCCCTTCTAGAAGCTTCCAGTTATGGAAACAGCCCAAGACCCATCAGTAGATGAGTGGATAAAAAAAATGTGGCACATTTACCCAATGGAATAATTTTACACAATGGAAAAATTTTCTGGCATCGTTTCTCAAATATCATCTGTTCAGCTTCATTTTTAAGGTAATAATTTAACCTTTGATAAGGGCTGCATCATTAATGTTATTTGTGTCAATAAAATGTGAAACTATATTTAAACATATGACTAAATGTAAGTAGTATCTATCAGGAATGCATTCAGCTGCAAGTAACAGAAAACCTGCCACCAGTAGCTTAAACAGAGACTTACAAAACAGGGTTCAAGCTATACTACCTTAAGGCAGTCATGTCAGCCAAAACACCTACTTCAAAATATTGGAAGACATGTTAGCAATAATTAATACTAATAATGCCAATATTCATTCATTACTTACCGCTTGCCCTTTTCAAAGTGCATTACATGTAACAGCATTTCAGGCGCACAACAAACCTGTGAGGTGGAATGGTGATGTCTTTTGAAAGTCATTCCTTTTCTTCTCCAGGTCACAGACTAGCTGCAGTATTTCTAGGGCACGTGGCATCATCCAATGGCTCCAAGGTTTGTTTTGCTAATCAATGCATAAGCAAGCATAAGAATTCTAGACTCTAATGCTTTTGACTTATGCAGAAACCAGCCCGACCTTTTCAAATCACGTTAAAGTCCCATGATGTTTAATAGCCTTTTGGGATGAACCTTTCAGAAGGTGCTCCTGTGGGTGAATTGGCTTTGTGCTTCTGTTTACAAGAACCTTGTCTCCCAGAAGGCACTGCAACTTTTATATCCATTATAAATTATCAATTAAAATGAAAACCAATACTTTCACTTCGTCTTTTTGCTGACATTTTCTAGCATATGCTAAGTTAACAAGTTTCATTTTATTTAATTCTTGTCATCATATAACTACATTCATATCATCACAGAGCAGTGGTGTCCGCAGGTGTAGTATCAGCTCTGGAAACTTCAGATGTGGCAGTGATGGGAGCTAGGGTGGGAATAATGGATGATTCCAGTGAATGAACCTTTGAATGTATCTGTTATCTTGGTGAATCCTACATATCTTTTCAAAAACTAGTTTACTCTTGAGCTATATATTTTAAACAAAGCAAAAACAAAAAAACAAAACAAAACAAAACAAAAAACAGAAGGGGCTCATTAAAATTGTATGTCCTAAAAGTGTGACAAACATCCAGTGGCTTTTTGCAGAAGCATTTGGCCAAGGGGCAAAGTTCTTGGGTAAGTCTCCAAACCTGGAACCATTGCAGACTTGGTTGTATGAGTATGGAGCTGAGTATGGAGCGTGATCCATGAAAGAGTGTCCTTCCAGGAGTGGGGAACCGTTTTTCTGCCAAGGGCCATTTGGATATTTATAACATCATTTGTGGGCTACACAAAATTATCCACTTAAAAATTAGCTGCTGTGTTTGGTCAAACGTTTAATGAATTCACCCCTAATGCTTTGGCAGGGCTAGACCCAGTGATTTGGCTGGCCTGATATGGCCCACTTGGCCGGAAGCAGGAGGTGCCACGGGTGTACCTGTTGACGTGCAGCAACCACTGCACCTGAAGTGACTTCGTCGCTCCTGGACTCTGATGCTTGAGGACTCTTTATGCTGATGAAAATGCAACCATCCTGGACCTTGAAAGGTATGGCGCCACTTCTAGAAACAGCCCATCCCAGTCCCCTCAATTTATTGTTTCAGCCCAGAGAGCCATAGGGCCCTGCCTGGCTTGTCAGCTAGTGAGTGGTAGGGCTGGAATGAGAATCCTTATCATCCAATTCTGTTCAGAGTTTTTTCTGCCCATCCATTTCCCCAGGATGGCTTAGCCCTTCTTGGACTTTTATTGTAGGAATCAAACAAAAGGTAGGTTTCTCAGGTAGCTGAGTTGGGGAAAGGGACTGTGACAGCAGGGTGGGTCAGAGGCAGGGAGACCTGGAAGGAGAGAGGACACTGAAATGCTAGGAGAGGGGGCTTGGGGGACTCTCTGCCTTCTTTCATTTTCAAAAAATATTTTTTTATTGATACCTGAGAGGAAGGAAGAGGGAGAGAAATAGAAACATCAATGAAGGGAGAGAATCATTGATTGGCTGCCTCCTGCACGCCCCCCACCACGGATTGAGCATGCAACCTGGGCATGTCCCCTGACAGAATCAAACCATGACCTCCTCCTGTTCATAGCAGCCGGGTGCCTTCTTACATTTTGATCAGCTCTGGCCTTAATAAAGAAGACTGGGCAGTCTAGTTCTGAACACTGGTGGAGTTTCAAGCATTGACGAGGCCTGGGGTAAGGGGCACATTGGGTAGGTTTTGGGAAGTCTGTGGGAAATAGGTATATGGATAGGGGTGTGTGTGTGTGTGTGTGTGTGTGTGTGTGTGTGTGTGTGTGTGTGAGAGAGAGAGAGAGAGAGAGAGAGAGAGAGAATGAGAGTGGAGGAATGTGATATTTATTTTGATTGCCTATTCACATTATTTGCAAATGATTCAAATCATGGGGTATTTTTCTTAAAAAAGCAAGTTCTAAAGAATAATAACAATAATAATAAATAAGGTTAGTTCTAGAAATTGATGTGCATTATTAAAAATGTTTTCTCCTGGACCTAGATGGTTTGGCTCAGTGGATAGAGCTTCAGCCTGCGGACCAAAGGGTCCCAGATTCGATTCCAGTCAAGAGCACATGCCCAGGTTGCAGGTTCGATCCCCAGTAGGGGGTGTGTGGGAGGCAACCGATCAACGATTCTCTCTCATCATTGATGTTTCTCTCTCTCTCTCTCTCTCTCTCTCTCTCTCTCTCTCTCTCTCTCTCTCTCTCTCTCTCTCCCTCTCTCCCTCTCTCCCTCTCTCCCTCTCCCTTCCTCTCTGAAATCAATAAAAATATATTTTAAAAAATGTTTTTTCTTGAAATCTTTTTTATTTTAGAAGTTGGCTTTGGTTTCCTCTGAATCCTAAAAGATACAATGGGATATTAAAAATGATTGGAACAGAACCTTCATTGGAGTGATTTTTAATTCATATCACAGATCAAGCATTCTGGCAGGAGCAACCGAAAATGTACAGAGAAATGAGTTTCCCAGCCAGTGTGGAGCAGAGGGCAAGGTGAAATGGGTGAGTACAAAGATCACAAGGTTTGAAAGCTGAGCTCACAATCAGCACAGCTACCAACCTGCTGTGAGGATTTGGGCAAATCAGGGTTCTTTCTATTTCAAAGTTTCATGATGCAGGTTAAAGTTCTACATGAATTCTGAACAATCAAAATTCATGCCTGCATTAATGATTCAGAAAAGAGGGCATTAGATGGAGATATTTTGACAGACATTGTAAATCTTTCAAGTTAGTGATAGAAAATGATGATCAGAACTCCAGGATCATATGGCTGAGGTTCAGGAATTTTATTCAATCACCAACGAAGACATTTTAAAACTGAATTTAACCTTGTCCAGGTTTTGTTCTTCTATTATGGTCACTTTTTAGTTAAAATGTTAGAGCAGCGATATGTTTATCTTAGTTACAACAGAGCTAATGTCTGAATAGGGACATTATTAGAAAATTAACGAATAAGGCGTTCCTGTTTCTATTGTAAAGGAAAGTAATCGATTAGCATAAAGTATGTCTCAAATATAGTGACCAGCATATGAAAAACTATTACAGGATTTGTTATGTTGAAAGACTATTATGAAATTTCCAACATACTTACTCATTGACACTGATGCTTAAAAAGAGAGGAATATCGGCCTGGCTAGGTAGCTTAGTTGATTAGAACATCATCCTGATACCGAAAGGTTGTGGGTTTGCTCCTGGTCAGGGCCATACAAAAATCAACCAATGTGATGGAAGGAGACTCAGGCTGAAGTGGTAAACAGACAATACAATATACAGGTGATGTATTATAGAATGGTATACCTGAATCCTATATAATTTTATTAACAAATGTCGTTCAATTCAATCAAATGTCAATAAATTGAATGAATTAAAACAAGAATCAATCAATGAATACATAAATAAGTGGAGCAACAAATCAATTTCTCTCTCTTTCCCTTCTCTCTCTAAAATTAATCAATAAAAAAATTAGTTGAAATGATTGCTCTTGAAAATAGAAGTATAAATAGAATTCTGATGAATTATTTTCCTAGTTCTTCATTATTCAAAATAATGCATTATGAATTGCAAAACTAATCTCTCCTCTTAAGGAAGATATTATTTGAGAAAACTTTGATCATAAAGGGCCCCTGTAAATGTCACAGAAAATCATCTTTCCTGTAAATTTTTTGTTCATTTTCTCTATCCTTTTTATATTCTCACCATTTCGTAGATCCTTTTCTGATGTTGAGTTTGGTGTGCTTGTAAGCTTTTCTTGTGTGATTACTTCATGTTATTAAATATAAGATTTCTATTATACACCCACTCATATAATGAGAGGTATGTAAGCTGTTTCCACCTTTTCTGGAGAGTTGATTTGCAATAAATATCCAGAACCTTGAACTGCTGTCCATACCCTTTGGCTCTGTAATTTCACATCTAGAATTTTATTCTAATGATGATCAGAGATGAAAAACTAAATTGGTAGACATAGCTGTTCATATGTATGTAAGAATATATGTAAAAAAACAGAAATAAACAATGTCCAGTAAGGAACAATAATTATGTGACAATATATTAACACACTGAAATTTTATGTAGTTATTAAAGTATGTTTTTATAGTACAATTAGTGCTCTGAAGAGAAATGAAAAAGAGAAGCAGTATATAATGTAGAAGATAGATTTCCAATTAAATTTTTTAAATCAAATAGCTCAAAATATTTTTAGGTATAATTTATATGGAGTAGAATTTTTCCTTTTAATATGTATACTTCAATTAGTTTTTTAAAATGTGTACTGTCATGTGATCACCACCACAGTCAAGGTTTTACCACCCCCAAAAGTTTCCTTTTACCCCTTTGTAGTCAATATTCACCCTCTACTCCATTCCTTGGCAAACTATAGTTTTTCATATTCCAGAATGTCAGGTAAATGGAATCATACAGTATTTTACCTTTTGCATCTGGCTTCTTTCACTGCTGAGATTCATTTTATGTTGTGTGTATCAGCACTTCACTCCTCTTCTTGCCAAGCACCATTACTCTGTATGAACATATCACACTTTCTTCATTCACCAGTCCATAGAAATTTTGGGTTGTTTCCAGTTTCTGCTAATTATGAACCATTTGTATATAGGACATAATATTTTTATTTATCTTGGTAAACACCTTAGAAGAAGGATTACTGGGCCATGTGGTAAGTGCATGTTCAAGAAATTGCCAAGCTCGTTTTTGAAGCATCCCTACCAACAATGTCATTTTGCATCCCTTCCAACAATGAGAGTTCTAATTACTTTGCACCCTCCAAGCTCATGGTGTGGTCTATTAAAACATTTCAGCCATTCTAATAGGAGTGTAGTGATAGCTCGTTTTTCTAGCGACTAATGACAAGCATCTTTTCATGTGCTTATAAGCCATCCAGATATCTTCTCTAGTAAAATGTCTACATCTTTTAAAATTGGAGTTGTTTTCTTATTATTGTTTTGAGAATTCTTTACATATGCTGTATATAATTCCTTTGTCAGATACATGATTTGCAAATATTTTTCCCAGTTTATGCCTTGTCTTTTCATTTTATAATGATGTCTTTTAAAGGGAAAAAAGTTTAGTTTTATCAACTTAACCATGTTTAATTTTATTCATGCTTTTTTTAATAATAAAATATTTAGTTTAGAATAATTTTAGATGTATAAAATATTGCAAAAATAGCACAGAGAATTCCCATACCCCCACACTCAACTCTTTCTCTCATGAATGTTAGTTGATTCATTTGTCACAACCATTGAATATGGTTTGTTTTTTGTACCCTAAGAAACATTTGCCTGCCCCAAAGTCACAATGTTTTTTCTGTGTGTTTTTTTTGTTTGTTCTTTAGAAATTTTATATTTTTAGCTTTATTAGGTCTATGATACATTTTTAGTTAATTTATGTGTATAACCTGAGGTAATGTGAAGGTGTTTTTTTTTTTCCTTTATGGACATTCAGTTGTTCCAGTGCTATTTGCTGAATAGATATTTTAATTTATATATAATTATTATATTTATATATAATATATAATAATTATGTCTCTACAGTTAGCACAAGTAAGCAAAAATTTTGAGTGAGCAGACACAACATAGTGAATATATATATATTTTAATAGTGAAGGAGGGATGAGCAGATTATGTCACTGAGGGTGATGGATACCTTAGCCACCCATGTGTCAATTTCTGACCTACATTGCAGAGCCTGGGAGGCCTGGCTCTGTGGTGGGTCCTCTTTTTCTATGTGGTCTTATCCAGCAGTTAAGGATCCTTTAATTTTTTTTTAAAATATATTTTATTGATTTTTTACAGAGAGGAAGGGAGAGAGATAGAGAGTTAGAAACATCGATGAGAGAGAAACATTGATCAGCTGCCTCCTGCACATCTCCTACTGGAGATGTGCCCGCAACCCAGGTACATGCCCTTGACCGGAATCGAACCTGGCACCTTTCAGTCCGCAAGCCGACGCTCTATCCACTGGGCCAAACCGGTTTCGGCGGATCCTTTAATTTTTACTTCCACATCAACCTTTACAATAAACCCCCGTTATTTAAGTTGAGTGGCTGATTATTGCCACTCCTGCAACCCCAGCAAAAACTACGTGTGCACAAAGCAGGCTCCTCTTTATGGGTGAGGATGAATGACTAAAGAAAAACACCTGCTGGTCCCAATACCTCTCCAGAGTTTGTCCTTCATGTGCAAAATTAGAGCTACACATTTTATTATGAAATTATGTTTCTGATAGCTATAAATATATTGCTAAGATCAAGGGGTAATATATTTACCATTTACTTACTTTAAAATTTATTTTTCATATTATTCCAACTCAGAGACCAAAGTTCTGAAATCAAGTAAGTTCTGATTTAGGGTGGAGAGAGAATGTTAAAAGTAGACAATTTCTACTTGGACATTATCCAAGACTTGTGCTGATGACATTGGTATCAAAGATGGCCAAAGTGTCACAAAGCTCTATTTTGCATACTTGAGACATAGTTAAGATCCTGGGCTGGGTTTACAGGCCATTTCCATGACTTTCTTAGCTGCATGACTTTGAGCAGATTACAAAGTCTCCGCCAGCCTCAGTTCCTTCTTCTGCAAACAGGGGTGATTGGGAGGCTTTGATGAAGTCATGTGACTGGCACAGAGGAAGTGCTCACTAACTGTCAGCTCTTCACACTGCGCCCTAATATTCCCCCCGCACTCACGCCAGGGGGTCTGGAGGCCTTGTGTGCATGCCCGAATTTTCAGGCTAATTGTTCACTTTGAGATGAAGGCCTCCCGTTGCACTGAGCCCTTGATCCACCCCATCTGTTCAGCTGTCTCTGTCTCCCGATGTGGGTTCCCTCCTCATATTTAAGACTCTTAATTAGTTTGGGGTAATAACATGATCAGCACCACCTGAGCATCAGTTATTAGCAATAAATGTGGCTCCTCTGAGCAGCTATGGCATACTAATTATTTCCACATAAATGTAGCTTTTTGTAGCTCTGATTACCTGCTAAGTGATACCAGTGCATATTTTACACAATTTTTACTGTTTATTTTGGAATCACTTGCCTCAGGTTCATCTCATCAATCCAGAAACATCTGCAATAACATTGGGATAAAATTCGTTTTATTTTTTTTTTCAATTTTTAACTCCAGGGCAATTTTTTTTTTTTTTTTTTTTTTTTTTTTTTTTAGCATCCCAGTGGGAAGTTCTCCTTCTTTTATTTTCTGCCTCATGTTTCCTAAATAGCCAATTAATTGTTTAATAGATGCTATCTCTGGGAGGGTGTTGCTCTTTGCCAGGCATTAATACTAGTATTGTCATGCCAGTCCTAGCATGGTAATTCTCTCACTGATTTTCAGGGCCACATGATAAAGGCAACAGGCCAAAGAAGCTACTGAATTGAAACAGCTAGAAATTCATTTCAACTAGGATCAGGTTAGCACCTGCTAGCGGCAGTGAGCATGGTGGTTAGGGTAGGAGATATGGAAATAAGCCACAAATGAGCAGAA